ATGGGCGGGCATGCAATGATGCCATGTCGGTGGACAAAGCAGAAAGTCTCTGGAGATTGCGAGATGGAAGCCAGAAGTACATTCCGAGCATTATTTCCATTCATGATCCACCAGGACAGACACAGAGCACCTAGAATAAGAGTGAGTATTGGTATCAGAAGGAATATAAAATTTGGTGACAATCTACGACATGCAAATGTTTACTCACACGAGTCGTCCACTGGTATATAGAGCAGGAAGATTTGATGAAAGGTGACTCCCCCAGGATACCTCGGATATCACCTCCATCACTTCGCTGCGCCGAGGCCTACAGTGAAGCTCGAAGGCGACCTTTTTCAAGGCAGGATACTGACGACTAGAGAAAGCCTGGTCAAGAAGTGCATAGGAATACTTTCCGACCTTATCGAGCGTGTCTTGGATATTTGACGAAGAGAATGTTTCGGTATACGTGAACGTTGAGATGATCGTAATCGCGATCAGCTTCAAAAGGGACGCGCGACACAGAATGTTGACCGCTCTGTTCAAATTTGTGAGATTGGAAGAGATTGAAAGAACACGCAGGTTGACAGCTGACGTGAGATCGATTGGAAAGTATGGGGGTGAAAATCCTAGAAGACGTCAATCGGCCTCGAACTGCATCGACAAATGGCCCCGGCGACTCACCTTGAGGGGATAAGATCGAGAAAGATGGAGCTAAGTCGATGCGCATGGATGAGAGCGACTCGGCGATCACAGGGAGCAGCTCCTGGCACTTTTCCAAGCCCCGATCACGCCATATGAAGTGGCGTAGTTGTGCGCCGATCGAGACGAGGAAGTCAACGACGTCATCGCTGCGCCGCACTTCGGCGGCGTCGAGTCGGAGAGGATGCAGTTGCCAGATTCGGCCCGCAACATAGGCACGCTTCCTGAAGGTCACCGACCAGCATTTGAGGGACGACAGCTGTGGAAGCGCACGCACGAGCCGCCCAAACACCACGGCAGAAGGGAATTCCACATCCATGAGGTCGAGCACGGTGATAGACTCGAATGCGAGAGTCACATGGTCAAAGATCTGTGCGTGCGGCTGTCCAAGCTCCCAATGGTACCTCCCGAGTACGAGATGCTTGACTTGGGGCAGTTTCTGTGCCATGCACACAGCAAACGTCCCAAAGATGCTCATCGACTTCCACCGAAAATTGAATGAGACCATCTTAATGGCATGACAGCGCTCGGGGTCCTGATTCAGTGCGTTGATCAGGCAATAGACCTTTTTCTTGTCCATCCTCCACACATCCAGCCTCTCTAGGCCACGAGATCGGCATCGGGCATACCACCCCTGACACACCCTTCCTAGTACACGCAGCTTAGCTTCATATGTCTCGCCGCTCCAAAGGTCATCCACCCATTCGTCCGCCAGATAATCAATCACCTTCTCCCATAATTCAATTGGAAGCTCAATCGAATGCTCAAGGGGCATATCAGCATCCAACGGAGCAGGATTTGGCATAGACCCCAAAGATTCCGCTTTGTCGTCCACCCCTACGATGTTCAGCGATCACGCATGTTGTAAGTGTCGCATGCACTGACCGTCTTCATTTCCACAGCATACCTCCCCTCCATTGACTTCTGGCCCAGGCACTGATTCGCCAAATTGTGTATCGAGTAGAAGAGATATAGTCGCAGGCGCAGTCGTCATCTGCAGATGATGGGCGCAAGAGAGGCGTGCCATGCCTTAGATGCCCACTCCTCGGCCTATAAGGTGTTCGCTGTCAGGTCATACAGCCCCGATGTGTGGAGATGAGCTATTTATCAAACCTTATCGTATTGAACCTAATATCACAACCTGTAAGCACATACAAGCGCGCGCACGCTGGGATATTGAACCACGGCTGGCACAGCAAGGAAATTATGATTATCTTGCAATGGAAACAGATGGGAGAGGCGACAGCTAACATGAGTTAGCTTTTCCTCCTTCATACAACAAGTCTCCCTTACTGGGGAAATAGTCATTTCATTGATGTATACTGTCACAACACGCCCGCAGAGCAGCGTTCGAAGAGCAGACGCGTGCTCAGCACTCTACTGCGCAGCGAAGCAGAGCAGAGTGCACGATATACACCACACGCACGCTGATGAGCACGTAGTCGATGGTGCGTAATTTCTTACGTAGCCCACGGATTACGACTTTTCGCAATAGAGTAGGTAAAACATGACGTGGGTAGCTCTCACCAACATGGCTATCTCACAGATTTGGGCTCACGCGTTCAATGCCACACCGCTGAATCCGTTGGACGGGTGACCCTCACGTATATATCATCTACGTGGATGTAGATAACATTACGGAAACTCGAACGGCTATCGGGGAGAGGGTGTATAAGTGAAGGGGATGCGCCAGCGTGTCCGTGGATTGGAAGAGCCATATGGATGGGCATGCAATGACGCCATGACGATGGACGAAGCGACAAGTCGCCGAAAATGGCGAGATGGAAGCCGGAAGCACATTGTGAGCATTATTCCAAATCAATTTGCACTAAAACAGACACAGAGCATCTGGAATAAGAGTGAGTACAGATGAAAGCAATGTGGAATGTGGAGACAATTGCATGCGAATGTCCACTCACACAAGTCGTCCACTGGTGTGCAGAGCAGGAAGATTTGATGCAAAGTGAGTCCTCCAGGACTCCTCGGATATCACCTCCATCACTTTGCTGCGCGGAGTCCGACAGTGAAGCTTGAACGTGACCTTTTTCAAGGCGGGATACAGACGACTGGAGAACGCCTGGTCAAGAAGTGCATAGGAATCCATCCTGACCTCTTCGAGCTCGTCCTGGATATTTAACGAAGGGAATATCTCGGTATGCACGAACGTTGAGATGATCGTAACCTCGACCAGCTTGGGAAGGAACACGCGAGACAGCCTGTTTGCCACTGTGTCCAAGTCTTGGAAGTGAGAAGAGATCGAAAGGACACGCAGGTTGACAGCTGGCGTAAAATCGATCAGGAAGTCTGTGGGTGAAAATCCTAGAAGATGTCAACCGACCTCGCACTGCATCGACAAATGGCCTCGGCGACTCACGTCGAACGAATGAATATTCAGTGATGTCGATCTGGATGGATGAGAGCGATTCGGCAGTCACGGGGAGCAGCTCCTGGCACTTTTCCAAGCTCTCATCACGCCAGGAGAGGTGGCGTAGTTGCGCGCCGATCGAGACGAGGAAGTCAACGACATCATCGCTGTCCAACACTTCGGCTGAGTCGAGTCGGAGGGGATGCAATTCCCAGATTCGGCCCGCGACATCGCCACGCCTCTCGAAGAACACGCTCCAGCATTTGAGGGATGACAGCCGCGGGAGTGCATGCACGAGCCGCCCAAATACCACCGCAGAAGGGAATCGCACATGGTCGAGCTCGAGCACAGTGACCGACTCGAATGCGAGAGTGATGTGGACGAAGACCTGCGCGTGCAGCTGCCCAGTGTCCCACTCGCACCCCCCGAGTATGAGACGCTTGACTCGGGGCAGTTTCTGTGCCGTGCACACAACAAATGTCCCAAACAGGCCAATCGACATCCTCCCAAAATAAAATGAGACCGTTTTCATGGTATGGCAGCGCTCGGGATCCTGGTTCAGTGCATTGATCAGGTGATAGACTTCTGTCTTGTCCATGTGATCTACATCAAGCTTCTCCCAGGCACGAAAGCGGCATCGAACATGCCACCCTCGACATACCCTTCCTAGTGCTCGTAGCCTGGCTTCATACGTCTTGTCACGCCGGAAGGGGTCCACCCATTCATCCGCCAGAACGTCAATCACCTTCTCCCACACTTCAATTGGAAGCTGAATCGAATGCCCAAGCGATACATCAGCATCCGACGGAACGGTATTTGGAATAGACACCAAAGATTCAGCTCTGCCGTCTACCCCTATGGTGTTCAACGATGACGCATATCGAATGCGTCGCATGCACTCACCGTTTTCAGTTCCGCACCACACCTCCCCTCCATTGGGTTCTGGTCCAAGCACCGAGTCGTTATCTCGTGTGACGAGTCGAAGAAGTATGGTGGCAAGCAAAGTCGTCATCTGCAGATGGTGGGCACGAGAGAGGTGCACCATGCCTCAGATGCTCACTTCACGGTCTATAAGGTGTGTGCTGCCAGGTAATACAGCCCTGATACCTGGATAATGCCTGCTTACGGAACCTTATTGTATTGAACCTAATATCACAGCCTGGCAGCGCATACAAGCACGCGCGCAATGGGACACTGAACCAGCGCTGGCATGGCAACCAATCTACCACTTTATTGCAATGGAATCGGATGGGAGAGGCGAGAGCTGACCAGAATAGGTCTCCTTGTTGGAGAAGCAGACACTTCTTTGCTGTGCGGACTGTCACGACATCAAGATTCATGCACCCTCCATCAAGTACGCCTATCGACGACCGAGTCGAATGGTGTACAGGACGGTGGGAGGCGTCTACGCAGAATACGACGCGATGAGACCAGGAATTGCTTCGGAGTGCAAAATATCTCGGACAGTTCGAAGAGAGCGCGGTGAAATAATGTCTGAAGTAGGTATGCAGGATGAGGCTGGGGAGCATGGAGTTTGTCCCGCATCGCTGTGCTGCGCTGAAGATGGCCAGCCCCGTAATTCTTGCGTGCTCCACGTTCTACACCTGCGATCACTGGTCAGTATTCGAACAAGAGACTACACACCAAGATTTCGAGAACCTTCCATCGAGTACGTGATCCCCCCGTAGTCTTTCCTCACTTTTTACGTACGTGAAACAACTTTGCGCCATCTCTGAATATCTCGGTCGCCCAACTGAATTCGCCAAGTGCTCCCTGCATGTGGTGACCATTCTATTCGAAAGCGGGGCGCGAAGCCGTCAGAGAGCCTGCGCGTGTCTTCACTCGAGGTGCACGCACCAGTCCCTGTTGAAGAGACCGAGGAGACAATGCTACACGGAGCGAAAATTTCACATATAGAGGATGACGTCGTGCGTGGAAATGCGAGGAGAGTCCATGCGAGAAAAGAGGACGAAGACGGCGACGAGGCGCGAGGCACGTGGACCCGCCCATTTCCTTTCTCGTCTATCGTAGCGCCTTCCTCACCCGGGCCGCGGCTCAAGTTCGAGTTAACGGCTTTGAGCCGTGAAGCTTGAATTGAATTTGAGGAGGGATCGACGTCGGGGCAAGTGCATAACAGCCGAGAAAGAAAATGGCAGGGCCGTCTCTCACTCGCGCTCACGACACCGCTCATAGGCTTTCCCCCAGATGCTTAAATCTCGTGTACATCCACGACGTCGTTGCAGCATCACGGACACCAAGCTCCCAATGAGCTGAGAACGTTGGCTTGCGACATCGAAGAGAGTTGTGCTATCTGGACATGGCCTCGTCGAGAGCGTCGAAGATTCATGTACCAGGAGCACGAGCGATGGGAATATCAATTGGGGGAGCTCTGTTGAGATTTACATCAGACGCAGCTACAAGCGCAACCATTTGTATCTAGTCTGCACCGAGGAAGCTACGTCGTGCACGGATACTAGCAACTTCAACCGTCGTCGCAACACACGCAGCGATGGCATTCGTCATTTTACGAGCCCGCTGGAGGTGATGCTGGGGATGACCTTGTGGTTTGCATCGAGTGAGAAGAGGGTAGGGCAGACACATTTGTGGGGTTGCTCGTCGTGTGCTGAAGCCAGTTGGACTGTACAGTCGGGTGGTACATTAGATATAATGCCCACGCACATGCGTGTGCGAGGAGCTCGTCTCTGCATTGGGAATTCTGAGGCCTGTGGACACGATGTATCCTGCAGATCGTGAATCTTGAACTGATGTCGAGTGGAAGAAAGTTTAGAGGAGTAGTAGCGAGAAACGCGTGCCAGTAGGGAAGAAGCCGGTAGTTGTGTGGGATGTGATGGGTTGTACAAGCATGGATTGTGGGGAATACATGTAGCCTACCATAATCTAAGCTCAGGGACTTGAGTCCTTACAGAAGTCCTAGAATAAAGGCAACAGTCATTTGATGAGAGACAAACATGTAGATACAGTCCACAATGGGAAAGACGACTTACAGAAGGCGACCACTGGCATCGAGGGCTGGAAGCCTTGACGAGAGCAGGGTGCGCCAGGAGCCTTCGGATATGTTGTCCGGCGCGTGGGAAACCCGGATACCGCAACGAAGGAGAACAGTGACTTTGCAGAGAGCAGGATTTTGACGGCCGGAGAGGACGCGGTCCATCTGTGCAAAAGAGTCGTTGTCGATGCTATTCAATTCATCCTGGACAGAGACCAGTGTCCCCCAATCGGCTGGCCACGACTTGATGGTAACCTCCACTAGGTTGGGCGAAGATATGCGAGACAGGAAACTGGCTGCCTTGGCGAAGTCTCTGAGATAGCCATCGAGGGCCAAAATACGCAAGTTGACAGCGGGCGTCAGATCGATTGAAGGGGCTGAGGGAACATCGTCAACAGACACTGGATGACGTCACCTCCGCCACGTACCTGCGTAAAAATACGCAACCTTGAGGGACAAGAGCGACTCGGCGATCACAGCGAGCAGCTCCAGCAGCTTCTCCAGGTCGCGTCCATAGCAGGTGAGATGCCGAATGTGCGCGCTGATCGACGCAAGGAAGTTAATCACGTCATCGCTGCTGTACAGATCGGCGGCGCCGAGTCAGAGGGAGCCTGGCACTCGCACCGCGCCTGCGACATGACTGCCCTTCTTGAAATGCACTGTACTGCACCCGAGGGAGGAGAGGCAGGGGAGTGCACGCATAAGTCGCCCAAACACAACCGCAGAGGGAAAGGTCACCTCGAGGAGTTCGAGCCTGGTCACCGACCCAAATGTGAGAGTGATATGGAGGGAAACCTGGGCGTGCAGTTGCCCACTCTCCCATTTACAATCCCAGAGTCTGAGAACTTCGACTCGGGGCAGCTTCTGCACCATGCGCACAGCAAACGACCCAAAGCGGCCAATCGACTGTCCTGGACGGAACCAGACTGTTCTGATGGCACTGCATCGGTCGGGGTGCTCGACCAGTGTATTAATCAAGCGATACACCTCCCTCCTATCCATGTGCCGCACATAGAGTTTTTCATAATGGTGAAAGCGACATCGGGCATACCACCCACGACACACCTGCCCGAGCCGTCGCATGTGGTAGTGGCCCCCGTCATCCGCAATGAGATCAATGATCTGCTCCCATAATTCTGTTGGAAGTCGGCTCGAAACCACGGGACAAATGTCCCATAGTTGGCTAACCGTCCGCTCGGCGATAGATACGTCCCAGCACGATCGTCGCATGTTCTGCTCTGCACTCCACTCAACAAACCTACACGCAGAAGAGGGGGGCTACTCACCTGCTCCAACTGTAGCAATGTCCTCCAACTTGTCTCTGTCTGCCACGGAATGGATATCTTCTGGGCTATATGCTAGAACGATGTCCATAGGGAGAGTTGTCGTATGCAGTAGTAAGTGGGTGGATAAAATACACTGCAAGCTCATCTCTTCGACCTGGATTAACTATTATATCCTACAGGCTGTGAGTATCAGCTATGTGATTCATCAAGAGACCTTTCTATCAAACCTTATCATACTGGTCCTAAAGGTACATTACCTTACGTGCGTTCGAGCAAGCACATGGCTAGACGATGTCCAAGTGAGACCAGTTCATGCGCTACAATCTCACTGTCATTGAGCACTGTCTGAACCATAGGGAACTCGAGGGCGAGGGCGAGACGTCCGTGCAGGCTGACTCAGCTCGTGGTGGACTGGTTCGTATGCAGCACACGCCTCAGCACTAGATCTGGCCAAATGTGCATACATGTCAAGGACTGCCTCGCACCGCAATCCTATACATCATCCGGCATGATTCTTTCTGACAATTGGCTTCTCCAAATCACTGGCGGTGCCTGAATATGCTATACTGGACTGTCTCGCCGTACAAATGAATGCCTTGCAAACCTAAAGATACATCAGCCTCTTCACCCTTCGCTTAGACTCCAGGGCCAGATTTTCAAAAAGGAAACTCATGACGTCTAGAAAGTGTTATGCTATAATCCCAGACGTTGGAGGAGAGTCGGCTGGAGTTCTGCACTGTGACCAATCCAGCGTCCGATGACTTGCGCTTTGTTGTTGACAAGACGCATCAGTGCCAGTGGAAAGGTATGGAGGAAGTGGGTCTGCGTGGAGAAATTGTTGCATCCGCCAAGGTGGAGACTGAGCGAAGACGACACGGAGAGCTTCAAGTTGTGCAGTGACAGCCTTGAAGGAACGACGCGAGAGGGCAATGCGCGACCCCGTCATTTCCTTTCTTGGCAGTCGCGCTCCTTGGCTCCTCCCGCTGCATCGTTCAGTGCACACACCTCCCCACATATCTGCCTCCTCCGTGTACTCGTCGCCAAATAAAAATCCTTTCTATATCTACTTGTAAATCACCCTAAACTGACTGCTAGCAGTGTTCTCCACTGCAATATCCTGACATCCCCGTGGACTAGATCTGACTCGAAAGCATCGCCTGCGGTCACACTTGCATGATGCCCTCGCGGCAAGTACAGGTTGGAGGTAGCCTACCTGAATAATCACGCCTTGCGATGGGACTTCACCTTCAGAGCAGGATGTTGTGCGACGTCGAAGGTGCATAAGTGAGTGCTCAACTCCTGCATTTATTCACACCCCTCATATAATCATTATCCTCTGGGATCAGGCCATCGTAGTTAGGCTTCAGGCTGGAGTGCGAAAGACTGTGTTCTGAACCTGTAAGAGGCACTTGAAAAACGACCGAGCGAACTCGGTATGGAAGTAAGATGTTAGGCGATGAGTTTTCATTAGTGTATGCAGAAGTGTATGCCAAGCCGAGATATCGTGAAACCAAGATGCACTGCCGCATGGATATCATGGACAGCACACTCACCTTGGGTTAGTTTTTCTCCCTGCTGTGCGCATCTGTGCGGGAAGCGAGTGCTAACTTGGAGGACGTTTAGCAGCACCGAGGGGTAAGGAGCAGTATTTTTCAAACCGATACCCGTCAAATCATGCGCTAGACTTGGTGAACAAGGTGGCATTGGCACGAGGCAGAAAAATTCGAGGTCCTCTTCCGGAGGATGCGCGGACGGACGAAGCCACTTGCCGTGACCTGATGAACAAGGACGTGCATGGGACGTGTCGTGGTGATCCAGGTAATGTGTAATTCATATCAATCTGAGCCGATCCGTCTACGCACGATTTGGGGATGACTTCCAGGTAAACGGGAGATATGTACAACAACAGAAAAGGCAAATGACGGGACCATCTCATGCGCCTCCGCAGGCGCATCGCGCTTTTCTCCCCTTTGCGTGGCTCCCTGGCTCTGCGTATAAATCACAAGCCTTACTGCTCTCTCGACGCTGACACCGGACGGCAACCTCGCCCATCGTCGCAACACACACAGCGATAGCGTCCGTTATTGCATGAGGCCCTTGGAGGTAATGCTATGGCTGACCTTGAGGTTTGGCGTTCATCTCTTTGGCGTCGTTATGAATATGCGAACTGATAAGGTGGGCAAGAAGAGTTTCGTTTACGAAATTGGCGAAGGATGGAGGCAAAGATGTCGATTTTTGGGGTGGCCGACCATGATGCTGAAAACCGATGTCGAGGCATGCACAAACGTCGAAGAGGTCGTGCTGAATGTGACCTTGCCAGGAGAATATGACGTTGCGTGGAAAACAGGACGAGGGGACGTATGAGTTTCTTGCGTTCAACGAAGACGACAGTTGCAGTCTCGCTGGTGATGGCGATACGTCCTTTGGTTGCCTCTGGGAGGAGGGATATGTTAGTGGCAGAGCTGGGCAAACACGATGTCGAGGAGGTCGTACTATAGATGGCTTGCACATGTTTCTGCTGAGGAAAGTGAAGAGTGCTCACAGCGTGAACTGGTGGGAGTGGAAGAATGTGCATCGGGAAAATAGTGCTTTGCAAAGAAATCGCCAAACTTTAAAAAGGGACGGGACCAGGAAGCGCTGGATGGCAGTTGCTTCTGGCTATCGCACGCCTGCCCCGAGTCCCGATGCGTCCTCTCCTCTCCCCATTCTGCACTCTCAGCCTGGCTTCTTCTTCTGTCTCCCCACATATCTGCCTTTCCTGTGCTCCCGTCGCCCAGTAATAGGCCTTCTCGCGTCCCCGCTGTCCCTCTAGATCGACACAGATGAGTCTATGTTTTCCTCTGCGCCTTCTGTCGCGCGCGTGTTATAGCTCTGGCTTGAACACATCACCTGGGGATAGACTTGTGGGACTCACGGCGCAATTCTTACGGCGATTTGGGATTGGAGGTGGTCGGCATAGTCATAGTTCACGATTGCCGAGGAGCTCGCCTCTGCATTGTGAATGCCGAGACCTGTGGACACGATGTATACTGCAGGCCATGAATCTTAAACCGGCGTCAAGTTTCAGAAAGGTGAGATGAGTGGCAGAGAGAAATGCATACCAGCAGGGAAAGAGCCGGGAGTTGTGGGAAATGTGATGGGTTGTGGGGACCAAATGTAGCCTACCAGACTCGGAGCGTAGGAACTTCGGCCCTGACAGGAGTTCCAGAATAAGGGCAACAGTCATTTGATGAGAAATGGAAATGCGGATAGTTGATGACGGGAAGATGGCTTACAGAAAGCGACCACTAGCATAGAGGGCTGGAAGCTTTGATGAGAGCAGGGTGCGCCAGGAGCCTTCGGATATGTTGTTCGGTGCGTGGGAAAATTGGATACCGTAACAAAGGAGAAAAGTGACTTTGCGGAGAGCAGGAAATTGACTGCCGGAAAGGCTGTGATCCATTTGTGCAAAGGAGTCATCGAAATCATCGTCGATGCTATTCAATATATCCTGGATAGAGACAGCTGTCGGCCGATCGGTCAAGGACGACTTGATGGTGACCTCGACTAGCTTGGGCAAAGATGCGCGAGATAGGATCCAGAATGCCATAGCCATGTCTTTGAGTACGCCATCGATGGCCAAAACACGCAAGTTGACAGCGGGCGTGAGATTGACTGAATTGGCTGAGGGAACATTGTGAACAGACACTGGATGACGTCACCTCCGCCACGTACCTTTGTGAAGCTGTCTGACCTCGAGGGACAAGAGCGACTCGGCGGTCACAGCGAGCAGCTCCGGAACCTTCTCCAGGTCATTTCCATAGCAGATGAGATGCCGAAGGTGAACTTTGATCGACGCAAGGAAGTCAAATACGTCACCGCTACCATCCAGCTCGGCGGCGTCGAGTCGGAGGGTGCCTGGCACTCGCACCGCACCCACACCACGGCAGCCCTTCTTGAAGTCCACAACCAGACAGTTGAGGGTGGAGAGGCGGGGGAGCGCACGCAGAAGCCGCCCAAACACAACCGCAGATGGGAACATTACATCGTATAGTTCGAGCTTGATTACCGACCCAAATGTGAGAGCGACATGGAGGAAGACTTGCGTGTGCAGTTGACCAGTCTCCCATTTACAATGCCAGAGTTTGAGAAATTCTACTCGGGGCAGCTTCTGCACCATGCGCACAGCAAATGACCCAAAGTGACCAATCGGCTTCAGCTCAAAATCGAATAAGACTGTTTCAATAGCGCGGCATCGCTTGGGGGGCTCATCCAGTGTCTTGATCAGGCGATATACCTGCTTCTTTTCCATATTTCCCATCTCAAGTACCTTGTGACTATGAAAGCGACATCGGGCATACCACCCACGACCCACTTGGCCGAGTTGTCGCATGTCGTACAATCTGTAGTCCGTGATGAAATCGATTATCCGCTCCCATAACTCTGTCGGAAGTCGGCTCGAAACCACAGGGCAGATGTCGCATAGTTGGCTAACCGTCCGCTCGGCGACGGAAGCGTCCCAGCACGACCGTCGCACGTTCTGCTCTGCACTCCACTCAACAAACCTACGCGCAGCAGAGAGGGGGTACTCACCTGCCTCAACTGTAGTAACGTTCTCCAACTCATCTCTGTCCGCCACGGAATGGACATCTTCTGGGCTACACGCTATAGCGACGTTCATAGA